TTCCCTTTCCACACAACTGTCCTATTCCCTGAAGGACCTTTTCTCTTGCTAGGCCAGAGACTGCTTCCTTCTGCCCAGCAAAATGAAACAGTGTCAGAGGGCATGCTAAATGAAACCCACTGCAGGGTAGCAGATACCTCTAGCAAGAAGGTAGCTGTGAGCTGTTCAGCTTGCGTGTAGGACTGCTGGGTAGAAAAGCCATTAAAAAAGCTGCCTCTCCCTGCAAAAGCTGGGCTTTCTGAAACAGGGCTGGCATAGGGACTTCTACCTAGAAGAGCAATGAGAACCAGGAATCCTAATTTGGGAGAAAGCATGGGGATAGATACCCAAACTTCTAACCTGCTTTGGTTTTAAAAGCTGGGTGTGGTTAGTCAGTCAAATCCCACCCCTAGTGACTTGTTGAAGGCCACAGAAGGCAGTAGCACTCTGGTCCCCCTCGTCTCTGCATGGTCTCTTCCTTCACCACTGCAGAGGCTCTTTCCCACTGCTACTGCATTTACGTTGTCGTGTGGACTAGGAACATCTTTTTGAAGTCAGTCACTCTATGACCACACTTCAGTTCACCCAATGGCAGAGCCTGTGAGCTGCCTCCCTGTTAGACGCGCACCAGGAGCGCAGATGGTGTTCTCTTGTTGACACAGGGTGGAGGGACTAGGTTACAGCAGACCTGAAGCACACCTCCCTCAGCTGTGAGTGGTCACTGGCTTCTCAGCACCCACTGCTTCACTCCACAGATCTGCTCCTGCTGGGACTCACTGCTCAACAAAGTGGCACAGCTGTGTTAAGCATACTTATCTTTGTTCAGTAATGATAATTTTCACCCTTTCCTTTACCTGCAGAGTCTATTGGGTAAGAAAAAGGGTTGTCAAACACTGGAACAAGCTGCCCAGTGAAGTGGTAGAGTTACTATCCCTGGAAGTATTTAAAAGATGTGTAGATGTGGTGCTTAGGGACATGGCTTACTGGTGGATTTGGCAGTGTGCTAGATTAACTGTTAGACTTCATGATCTTGAAGGCCTTTTCCAACCAAAACGGTTCTGCGACTCTAAGAAAGCACTAACCTAAAAGTGTGTCTCTTACTGAGTAGTAATGAAGCCAGACAAAGTAATTATAGATGCTACAGTTGGCAATTTGCGGTTCCTCTCCAGTGGGACCAAGCAGACTTCTCCAGTGCTGAGTTGCAATTACGTAGTCCGGGTGAATGGTGGTCTTTGCACGGTCTAAAGCATCGAAGAACTGCTCTCTCTCCTCTGCTGTCAGGGAGTGGACATCCTTCCTGACAACCGGTGGCTTCCTCACCTTGCAGTCGGGGCCAGTCCAGCCAAACTTGCAGTCACCACAGTTATAGCCAGCAAAGTTCCCTGAATCAAGAGAAAAAGAGCAGTCACAACATTATGAAGCAGGGGAAAACAGTGAAATGCAGAAGAAGGAATGATTAGCACTCTTCTTCCCGAAGAGATGCCAGTTCCTAAAAGGGACAGCATCTGAGCAGACTGACAGCTTTGCCAATTGCCTAACCAGAAGGATGGCTCGCTTCCCAGAGCTGTGGCAGGGCCAGGAATCACACTCAGCTGGTCGGGGAGGGTGAAGTGCTGGGCAAAGGGCTTGATGCCTGAGGGGCTCAGAGCTCTGTGAAGGCCTCGGGCATGTGAGGAGTGCCACTGAACAGAGGGCTGAGCTCCTCAGGTTAAGCAAGTGACGATGGGCTTTGCTCAGCTGGCTCTCAAGTACTCCCAGACTTCCAGGATCAAACCCAAAAAAGGGCCAGCTCACGTGGATCCTTAAGCACAGGAAAAAAATCCCTAAACAAAAAAGTTCTCTTAAGGACAAAACCTAGGAAAAACTAACATCTGTTAGCAGTGTATCTGGGACCCAACACAATCCAGGCCAAGCACCAGGGCTGCTGCCAGTCACAGTTTGAGCACTATTAAATGGTGCTGCAATAAGAGCATGACAAACCTTGCAGTGTTCTCATTCCCAGCTGGCATCATTCCTAAGGCAAGTAGATGGGTCCACTCAAGGCTATTAGCTCAAACCCTCTAAAGTGCTGGAAGAGCCCAGGAATGCAGAGCTTGCTCTCAGCATGGCCTCTTGCCCACCGTGGCAGCCTGCCAGCAGCAGCAGAAGGGCCCTGCTGCAGTGTGCTTTGCCTTTGCTGGGGGAGACTGGGAAGGACTGATCCTGCAGTGGACATCAGCCTTCTGCCCTCAGGCAGGCAGGCGGTGGGTCCAGTAGTGGTACAGGACAGTGAGCACTGCTGCTGGGGGAAGGAAGGAATGGAGGGGCAACCAGGAATCCTCTGGGATCAGCCCCTCAGTTCTCCAAAACCTGCACTGAGTCTCCCTAGTGCCACCCTCCCTTCAACTCCACCTACACACTCACTCCACGGCAAGCATGGCAATCATCTTCCGAAATGCCACAAAGTCTCACTGCTCCCCCCACATATCAGCACTGCTAGACCCAGGACAGTCTTCAGGCTAACACGGAGATGGGTAAGTGGCTTATAAAATGTTCCTGGATGGGCACACATCCCTACACTGTAAGGTTGAGTTGATGAGCAGAACAACAGTTAACACTAAAGATGTCAGATCTTCAGGACTACAGGGCTTATTATCTGTTTCAAAGACCCCCAAGGTTACAAGGGCTGTAATCAAGAAGGCTTCATAGCTTATGGCTGGCTCTAGGATAAGGGCTGCTGAACTCTAAATATTTGTGACAGACTCCTGTGAGACCTACCAAGATCTGCGTCTGATCCTGGTACCAGAACAAGACTCCACCAATCACTTGTTGAGGCTCCGATGGTGCCTATTCCTCACTTGGTGGGGGCCCTTGCATCTATGCAGCCCTTGATGTCCAAGATCAGTTTATTGGACAATATCCATCTTTAAGGTGTATTCTGTGTCCCTCCTCAGCCTATGAAAATGTATTTACAAAAGCTTGAAATTATGAGTTACCTTTGCAGGAAAAGAAGTTTTTTTCCATCTATATGGCATGTGGAGCCAGGCAAACCAATGACTCCTCACCTGGTTCCCTTGGGCAGGTGCTTATTATATCCCACTGATGCTCTGCAGAATTTTCTCCCTTAACTGCCTAATGTGTGAAGTAATCCAAGGGTTCCATTCTTTCCACCACTTGACCAGACGCTTTTCAATGGGACATAAGCTTTTATTGAGTAATAAGGAGGAAAGCAGTGAAGAAGAGACTGGCAAACAGGAGGAGCCAATTTCCAGGCAAAGTGGTACTTCACACTGCAGTATTTCTGCTGACTGTTGAACACTTTTGTAACATCCTTGGGTCTGTCTGGCAATGTTCTCTTTGTTATTTTCTTTCAACAAACTCCATGCATCACAAGGTTGTTGTTATGCAGCAGCTGAAATGGTGAGAAGCTGGTGGAGTTCTGTGGGATTTCCCACACTGTAAACAGGGATGACTGCTGTACTCAAACCAGGGCTTTTCATGTCCCACTCAAGACACTTTTTCAGCACTTGTTTCTAAGGCACTCTTCCAGCCCCCTGGTCTGGAAATGATACATTGCTGTTTTCAGAAAGTTCATTTACTGCCCTGTGGACTTCCCAATGTATGTGAAATACATACAAGTGAAATGTATGTCCCAGTGTCTAACTACTTAGCTTCAATGTCTGCTGCACTGGTGATGGTGGACGTCAATGGTACAGCTCGAGGAAAGCAGGAAAAGTAATTTCATATTATCAGCAGATAGCACACAGTAGACATTTTCAGTGAGACAGTGAGACCTTCTCAAGATCCTTTTAAACACAGCAACCATAAGAGCATGCAAGGACTCATGCCTTGGAATTTTTTTGTCTTCAGTGACTAACACGTCTTCAGTGACACTTTTGCCTTCAGTGATTTCAGTGTGCTTCCTCTCTGAGGTTATTCCAGGGACAACTGAGATTATTCTCACCTCTTGTGGTTCCCAGAGTATATAGTGTGGAAGGTCACTCTGGCACACAGACAGGAGCTCATGTCATGGATGGGGTTCAGATGTTCCCTGCTTGTTCCACTGCTTTCCAGGAATGACCATTGTACTGCTTCTGGGCCAAAAAAAAATCATCTGGGATGTTTCCCCTACTAACCTTTTATCTGGAGATGGGATCACATGCCACAGGAACTGTCTTCTTCTGTGCCTAATCTCATAATCATTAATGTTCCTCTTTTCCAGACAAGTTGGGTGAGTCTGGCTGTTTCTGTAGGCACCATGACACTGAGAAAAAGGCACTTCTTATGACACAACACTTAGTATGTGTTAATAGACATCATTGGTGTGTGCTAACAGCAGTTATCACATACCACTGGAGCTGCTCCTCAAGCCCAGTGATTGCCTGAGCTCACAGACAGGGATTTTTCCACCTCTGAGTAGTCATAGCATCTGGTTGGCGTTCAGACACTTAGGGTAACACAAATTAATAACTCTATCAACTCAGTATCTTCAGTAAAAGGAACCCATCCAACACTCACTATCTTCTGCCTTGTTTTATTGTACCAAGACGAAAGCTGAGCAGCTGCAATACCTCTTCCTTCCAGAGAGACCAGCTTAATACACATCATTTATTGAATGGAGAGAAAAGATCCTTTTTAGTCTTTGTCAGTCATTGCATTAAAACAGGAGTCAGATGGGATTTGAAACACCAGCATGCTGCACTACGCCAAGAGTAGGATCAGCATTGCTGCCATGTGAGACAAATGGCTAGCTCCTCTGTCTCTTCTAGGTCTTCAGTTGCACACACTGTTAGGCTGTAGGATGTGGAAGATCTGTACCTAGCACAGACTCTAGCAAGGTCACCAAGTATTATGGTTATAATTTAGTATTATCCTACAGTCACATTGCCCTACCATAAGTAAATTAAGTGTATTTTATAACTACTTTAAAAGCTCAATTTTATCTAATGGGAAGGCCATCATATCAGCTGCCTGGCTTGACTGGCAATTTGCTTACACCTAAACAATACAATTTAAACCTTCTGTCCCCAGTGTGACTATATATTTCACTGGAGAGCAAAAAGATTAAATACTTTTTTTCTCAAAAAGCTTCTATGAAAAAAAAAAATCATGTTCTGCTCATGTGCACATGTCAACCTTAGAAAGTGGTAGGAGAAAAAAGAATAATAAATCTGTTTAACTCCTCAGTGAACTTAAACTATGTCATTGTTTAATCACTGTCACAATCTGTACTACCAACCACATGACTGACTGCAATATTTTTTTTCACAATAATCCTCTGTACTAAGTTTTGAAAATGCTATACCAGATCTGTATCCCATTACTAGAACTCAAAATAGCATTTAGTTCCCAAATCTTCTAAAACAGTATTCTTCTAATCTAAATTTAACTACCCCACTGAAACACTGCTTTATTGAGTCAGGGCTAGACTAGTGCATTCAACATTTTGTCTAATTCACCACATACAACTTACTGAAATACAAATTAGTCTATTCCCCTTCACATAGCTCTGTGCTGTCAGGTCACTTCACTTCAGGAATTTATATAAATGGAATTAATATGAGTTGCACCCAAACTAACTGTAGAACACATATAATGGATTCAAAACTGAAATAAGAAAGGAACTAAAACCTCTTTACTACCTCCCAGCTATGTTCACATCATAACCACATCCTTTTTCTAGAGATAATACTTTTGCTGCCACCAACACTTTGAGTGAAACAAGTAGCAAGCAGCATCCTGACAACAGACTTACAATTGTCTTTTTGACCATGACCCTTTTTGCAAAAGAGTGGGAAGCTGGATCTTTCTGTTGTACTAATTGTAATCTGTTATATTTGTCCATAGTTAAGGAAACACTAATGTAGGTTACCTGCTAAATCCTAGAAACGGAAAAGAAATGTGGGGGGTTTTATTTTCCTTAGGAAATTTACATTAATTTAAGAAAAAAAATCAAGAAAATAATCTGACCCCACAATTACCATTCATCAATATTTGTTTGTGATTGGGATTTTCTTGTTGGTTTTGCGTTTTTTCCCCAGAAATATTCAGTACCTAGACCTGGATGGATAAGATTTTAAGACATTTTTCCCCAGTGAACAGCTACAACAAATGATCAATTTTTCAGAATTCCTTTTGTCCTTAGCTATTAAGTTTTTAGCAGAAAGATCAAATCCATTAATTTGTTGCCAGAACTACAGAACTCTTCAGAAAATCCTGGTCCCTGATCCTCTCAGCTCCTCCAGGTTTCCTGCTGTACAGCCATCAGCTATGTTGAACATTTAAATGGCACTGTCTAACCAACTCTAATCAGCTACATGGCAGTTGGAGTTCCCGTAGCTTATCTTTTACACCATGGCTAAACTATAAATTAAATAGTGCCAAGATGGCACTGGAACACAACTGTTTATATTGTTAAAATGCTAGAAAGAGCCTTGGCATGGGTTGGAGGAGTTTGCACAACCCAGAAACCATTTCAAATAGGCAGCTTGCACATAACATTCATTTGCCTTGTTTTCATAAGAAAATAATAAGATCCCTTTATAGCAGAAACGTGCACTGCTCTGTGTCCCTTTGAATGAACATATCTCATTTATGTTACCTGCCAGAGGTACCATAGCCCTAGGTACCTAATAAAGACCACACCTCTTAAAACTCTGGTGTGCAAACAGCCCAACGGGGTATATAACAGGGTAAAATGAATACAACAAAATACTAATAAACACAGACACACTATCACCAGCATTGTAAAAGCATTAGATCCAACTCAAATCCCACACAGTTGTGCACTTCTTCGCTTTCTCCCAGGAATGC